TTTCAATCAAATGATAAGGTAGAATCCATGGGATTAGGCAACTGATCTAAAGCAATTAAAGTTTCAATCAAAATGTTCCTTAAGTCTAAACAACAATGCTAAGCAAGTCCTAGGTCTAGGCAAATGCTCATTTGCTTTCATTAATCAAACACAAATGGTCATTGGCTTAATTAATTCAAGCAATCATTAAGATTAAGTTTAATAACTATCTAAAACCCCTAGATACAAATGGTTATTGGCTAGGTAGTTTTAAAGCTAAGGAGAGTTGGTTCAGTCATTTAAACATACACCTTGTGGGTAGAAAATGACTAAGGTTCAATCCTAGAGTGATCAAGTATAGAATAGCATTAAACACACTCAACTAGCAAGGAAACACTTAGATCTACACTTAATCACCTTAAATCTACCTAACCCATGAATTCTAAAAGTGTCTACTCTTTCTCCATGAGAAACCTTAAATCCATGATGGATTCAAAGTTAATCATGTTAATGAGAATAAGAAACAAGATATAAGATGAAATACTTACTCAAAATGATAAAAAGTTCAAGCTTTTACAATTAGAAACTAAGTTCTTGAGAGATCATGAGATATTTTAGGGTTTTTGGGATCTAAAACTATATATAGGAGGTCCAAATTCGTCTTGGTTTAGTTGAATTAAACCGGGTCAAAACCGGACTAAACCGGTCAACTGTTGACTTGGCTCCATAGCGACCTTTGTATCCCGTTACACCAACCCGCTACGGAGCACGTCTTGTGTCTAGCGACGTGTCTATGTCGCTACCTAGAGCCGCTATCAACCTTGAAGATCTTGAGCTTTGATTCTTCCCGATGTGAACCACCAAGTCTAAGCTCTCCTTGTCTCCTCCGTCGCGCTTAGCTTCACCGGAACCGTGGCTGTGTCCTAATCTCCCCGTCACGGATCGTCTCACTTTGCCACAAACCTCCGTGAAAGCTCCTAAACCACCACGAACTTCTTCTGCTCCGACCTGGTCGTCATCCGTGACTCCACCACCGCGCCTCCTCATCTCTGGTCCATCTCCGCCGCTTTGCTCACCACGGGTTCACTCATCAAAGTCACCTCCTCGCCGTGCTAGCTCCGCCGTGGCCGTGCTCGCCGCCGTCATCGGATTCAGTCTCGCCGTCGGGATTTGCCGTATTCCATTCACGAGGAAGCACAAGCAAGAATGGTGGATTAGAGAGTTATTGCACTTCTGGCCCTTAAGCTTCTGATTTATTTCGTTTCTGCCCCAAACGTTTATGACTTTCAGATTAGTCCTCTTCAATCAGCCCGTAACTTTTGATTTTACAATCCAACCCCAGCGAATGTTCTGAATTAGCACATTGGTCCCTGCATTCTCGTGGTCTTTCATTTCTGACCCAAAACTTCCATAATTGCATAGATAACCTTGCAATTTCACCTCAAACTTCCAAATATGCATTTTAAACCCTGTTTTATGCAAATGAACAAATGTATACACTATATACATATAATATGCAATCTCATGACCATAATAAGCTAAAATCTGAATCTAAAACTCATTAAAAATATGAAATATCATACGCTTACATATATCATCCACTAATAAACATGGACCAACCTGTAAACCCCTGTTATCAAAAATATAAATTAGTGACAACATCATACAAAAATATAAATTAGTAATTAGCTTACATTCTTAAGTCCTGCCAGTTCGTCATTTTTTCGAAATCTTCATTAGACACATATACCAATCGTGCATCAGGTTCGCGGGCACGATCTATTTGGCGGTCATTTAATTGTGGTATTGTTATCTTCTGCGCTGTTCCTGGATCATCAGTTTTAGGTTGAGAAGGATCAAAACCCTCTACAAATGTATCCTGTGAAAGGTCCGGAAAGCTGCTTTGCAAGTAATCTTGTGTACTCATATGCACATCAATTCCTGGTGATAGAGTCAAGTTTACTCCAGATAAATCAATAAGCGGATCATCGATGATTAATTCTTTTTTTGTCACAGCCTGATGACACACATAAAAATTAATAAGGTTTTAATTTAAAATATAGTACACAACAGTAATACATATTACAAACATACCAAACTAGACAAACAAAATGTCTAACCAGATATTACATATCAATAATACCACACATACATCCGACAAGTTCCTAATGCAAACATAGCACACTAGACAAACAAAATGTCATACCGCCTAGTTCCAGCATCCTAGGTCCAAAAAACTACTTCTAAACAACTAGTTCCAAGATCCAACAATCCTTAACCCTTTCTCTTATTCGTTACCTTTCTTGTTTGTGGACCTGTGACTTTTTTGGTCTTGGCAGAAGCGCTGTCTTTCTTGGAGAAGGCAGGAACTGTATCTTTTTGGGAGAAGGCAGGAGCTGTGTCTACTCTACTCTTGCTAGGACCGGTATGTTGATCACTCTTTCCTGCTATTTCGGAGAGGACTAACGTGGTCCTGAGCTGTGAAACCTCACTCTCCAACTTCCCGAGCCTGCTTGTTACCTCTGTCTCAATCTTGTCGATTCTATCGGAGACCTGTTGTACAATTTTCCCCTCAAACGCAGTAAATGAAGCTTTTAGCAAACCCTCGAAGAATTGATTCATGTCTGTGTCAGTGCTCCCGCTCCCCTTGTTTGAAGCAGCTAGCTGGCACAACAACTTCTTCTTCCTTGCATCTGCTTCTTGGTCAGCATTCTTTCTCTTCTTTGTACCTGAATCCACATCTGGTGTAACATGACTACTCTCATCAATCTCGGTATCAGCATCGGCATCTCCTTCCTCTTCTTTCTCTTCCTCAGATTCCACCATTTCAGACCCTGGACCTCCTTCCGATACTCCCCAAACATGATTGCTCCACTCGTAGTTTCCTTTGATCATATCCACTAAGCGCTCAACTCTTTCATCTTTTTTCTCATCCTTCCTTGCAAAATCTGAACCCAAAAGGACCACTCCATCTCCGCCTACTTCAAGGAATGAGTGCAAAATCTCCTACAAAAGATTGAAATCATTAGTAAAATTATTTAGACAATAAAACATTTTTAATACATAATTTTGAAGAGATTAAAATCATTACTAAAATAAACAAGACAATCAAACATTTTTATTACAGAAATCTATTCATACCTTCTCTGGAAATAATGTCTCAACCCCAATGATGTCTTCATATGAACATTTTGCACATCCAGTCCAATTACCACACAGAGGACCCATAAAATCGTCCGTGACCTTCGTCCCACACATCTCTCCCAAAGCAGGAATAGCTTCCATAACCCAAACCTGGAAAGCATACAAGAACCCTTCCATCAGGTACCCCTCCTTCTGCTCCAATTTACGCCTTGCCTTTACCATCGATTTCAGTAGGAAATCATACGAGTGCAAACCCCAAGGGTACTTCCGAAGCTTCTCAAAATTCATCACCAACTTCATGTACTCAAGCGGGATATTCACCTTCTCATCCCTCCCAAAGACCACACCCATAATGACACATAGATAGACCAGCATCACCCTATCAACAAAAGTCCAGGTGCTACAGTCATCCAAATACTTCTTTTTAATATCTAGCACACTGATTTTCCCACGCGTCCTTATCTGGTTGCTCCAAAAACCACCATCATCAGTCCATCTCAATAACCCACTGGTCTTATCTTGTTTCACTTTCAGACTAGTGACATCATGATACTCTTGCAATCCAAAACGCAGAGGCCTCCCCGCAAATGTAAACCATTTCATGCTTCAAGCTTGTCATCAACTCCTTACCGAGCGCGTGTACCACCCTCGCAGAAAACTTCAGCTGATTCTTCTCAATAGCTATAATATGCGAGAAAAGGGGATCATTCTTGACTTCATTGAATTCCGGCTCCAATTTTGACCGTAGAAGCTCGAAAAGTTTCATTCGGCTGTTATTAATCTTCTTAGTCTGAGGTTCCAACTCTTCTGCATATAGATGCCTAGGCAACTCCAACTCCATAGCTGTAAAATAAAGACGATATATATCAATAATCAATTTCAACACCAATGCTACACATATAATAATGAAGCAATCGAGATCCTAATATTTTTTTTTTAAAGAACAAAACTTCAAATTCATAAATCTATCCTAAAACTATGATTTAAGGCATAAGGTAGGTACGAAATTGTCCCTAAACATAACTATTACACTCGTTTGAAGCCAAAACACCATAACAAACTAAAAAAATTCAATTTTTTCATAGTTTTTTTGAACTCTTAAATTGAAGATTGAGTTTTATACCTTTACAGATCGAACAAAAGAGTGATAGATTCGGACAAAGCTCGCGAAATCGTGTGGATTAGGCTCAAGAATCGTCCAAATCAGAGTAAAATTGAGTGAGTTAGGGTTTAGTGAAATTGAGAGAGAAATCACCCATTTTTCGAGTTGGAAGAGAAGAGAATGAGGGGTTTGATCCCTAAAACACGAAATCCTTTTGTTAAATCGTGTTTGGCCGGTTCAAATCAAGTGTGATTTAAACCGAATATAACTGAGCAAAATAAGACGGGATCGATCGATCTGATCTAGGGGATCGATCGATCCATGTAGATCGATCGGCACACGATCGATTAGACTCTAAAGCAGTCGATCCGTTTATGCTCCGCGTTTTTTCAATAAACTGCTCAGTCACGAGATCGAGCGTGTGGATCGATCGTCTGATTCTGGGATCGATCGATCCCGTCATATAGAGCAGTTTCCTTCGGTTTTTTTTTCCCGATTTGAAGATTTTTATTTTTAATTTTTTAACGATTTTTAAGTGAATTTAATGGCATTGTTGCCATTTAGAAAATATTTAGCCTAATAGGACAATAAGTTAATGAATTTAACCTAAATGGACAATGTCCAAACCTATTTGGCTTAAAAAATCTATTTTCTCAAAAAAAAAAAAAAAAAAAAAGGAAACATCCTATTTTCTATTTCCTGTTCTACTTTTCTCAAATTGAATCGATTATAAAAAAAACAAGTGAAAGCCCATTAGCATCTGCAAGAGAAGAGATAACAGTAGAGTTCCTCAAACCTAAACCATATTTTGTTTCCGATCCCCTTTTGAACAAGAGACAGAGGATTCATTCAGAGAGAGCACAGAATGGGCAAATCTTCCTCTAAGAAACTTAAACACTCTAAAGAAGATCCCTCCTCCAAGGTACTCTCCATTCAATTATCTCTACTTAGGTCAATTAGGAGAAGAAAAAAATTTGAAACTTTTGATTTGATCTTCTTTTTTTGTAAAGTCTCAACCGTTAATTACTTTCGAATTAGGGTTTCTTTGGTTGATTAGATGCCACTGATGAAATTATACTGTGCAGTTGCGGTCAGTGAAGAAGAAGAAGAAGACGAAGAGAAGCAAATCAAAGAAGATTCGTCAGATTAAAGACTCTTCTTCTTCTGATGAGAGTGAATCAGATTCTTCTTTGTACTCTTCTTCTAGTTCGGAAGATGAGTACAGGAGAGAGAAGCATCGTAGGTCTAAACTGAGCAAGAAGAAGAAGAAGAAGAGGTCACGCAAGAGATATTCTAGTAGTAGCGAGAGTGATGATAATGATGAGGAAGATGATGATATTCGTGTTTTAAAGAAAAAGAAAAGGTCTAAGAGGAAGGAAGGGACCAAGAAGAAGAAGAATAAGAGAATTGTCTCAAGAAAGAGACGTAAGAGAGAACCAACTTCAAGCTCCACTAGTAGTGATGAAGGTAGTGAGAGTAATGTAAAGAGAATGAGTAGTGAAAAAGAGTGGGAGGAAGATGATGAATGCTGGCAAGTGGAAGATGAAGTTATGGCTGAGAAGCAGAACTCTAAAAGGCTTAAGTCGATTGTTGTGGTACCGTATAACTATGATAACGATGAGAGAAAGGAGGACATGATTGTGGGTGATGAATCTGATGAGAATATGATTGTGGATGATCAGAGAGATGGTGAAGGTGCTCGCTCTTCTCCTATAACTGATGGTCATTACAACAGACGTACTGGCTATGATGAGTTTGAGGAACACCATAGTTCTGAAACTAGCAAAGCTTCAGATTCAGACAATAGTTTGAAAGGTGATGACCTGGAAGCTATTCTAAAGAAAAGAGCGTTGGAGAATTTAAAGAGGTTTCGTGGAGAGACCCAAAAGAATGAAACTGTAAGAAAAGATTCAGGAGGAGAAACTCTGCAACCTGAATCTGAAATTATTAAAGACACAGAAGGCCGCCCTCTCATGGAGCAGAATCTCTGTGTTTCTGAGGGAGACAAAGATCTTGAGACTTCAGAAAGGATGTTACAAGTTGTTAATGTCAAGGAATCTGGAATAGGGTTGGCTGATTCTGTCTCTCAACAGGATCAACAGTCTGGTGAAACTGCCAGGGTTAAAGCTGGTACTGGAATTAGCTCTTGTACAACCAAACGGAGATTGATTAGACCGGTATTGGGACAAGAAAGTTCAAATCTAGCTAGCAGGAAAGAAGCCGCTGGTTGTCAAGATGCTGTAGCAGAGAACATCAATGGCAAGAGTTGTCCAGAAAATTCTTTAGCTCTGGCAACAAAGAATGGAGGTGAAAACATTGAACCAACAAAAGTTACCTCTACGTCTTCTTCTCATGATGAGACTGAGACATTAGATGAAAACAAAGGAGAGTCTCAGTCTGAACAGAAGACGAATGATGAAACAAAAGGTGACTCGCAATACGAACAGAAAACAATGACCGTGATGAGGGGTGGAGAAATGGTTCAGGTAACAATGCTTGAAACTTTTGAGCTCCTTGTAGGTTTTTAGTAAGTCTATATGAGTCTAAACAACGTCTCTGTTGATACTGAACCATTCGTTTTCTTCTTTAAATTTTTTTGGTCAGGTGAGTTACAAGGTCTACATTCCTAAGAAGACTTCTTCTTTAGGAAGAAGACAATTGAGGAGGTGAAGCGATGCCAAGAAGATAGTCCATATCTACAGATTTTCTATTTATTTCAGTAGACTTTGACAACAGAAATTTTAAATCATCATAGACTTGAATCTTTGAATACAATAATGAAGAGTACATTAAGTTTCATGTCAAATGTACTTGTAGCCTCTTACCCAACTCTAGTCTCTCTGAACATTAGGCATTTTTCTTATCACATTTTCCTTGCTACTGCTTTATGTNTATTTCAGTAGACTTTGACAACAGAAATTTTAAATCATCATAGACTTGAATCTTTGAATACAATAATGAAGAGTACATTAAGTTTCATGTCAAATGTACTTGTAGCCTCTTACCCAACTCTAGTCTCTCTGAACATTAGGCATTTTTCTTATCACATTTTCCTTGCTACTGCTTTATGTTATAGCCTCTTTTCTGATATAACACTGAAGCAGTGATCTGGTTATCAATCAACTCTTTTTCTTGGTGCCGCTCATGCAAACCCAATCACCTATTGTGGCTACAGATATGTCCTCCAAGAAGGGAGAGTACCGTTCTTTTACCATTGGAAGCTGCAAAAGCGGCATTGAATAAGTCAGTTTATAGTCTGTCTTTCAGTTCCAATGACTTGCAGGTAGCTTGATTGCTGTAATAATGCATGACTGTTGTAATGAGAGATGACTGTTTAAGTACCTGTTCAGAGAGGATTCCAGAAATGCCAATGGTCGCCCCGGGTTTGGCAAATGAAATGATATGGTCTGCCAGTTCCATAACCGGGTTCAAGAGTATGTTTGCAATGACCACATCAAACTGTTCTTTTGGCAATGGTATCTCTGTTCCACAGGAGCTATTATCACTTGGTGGTGCAAGGTGCAGCTCCAGTTTCTCCAATGGAATGTTGTTTAGAGCTGCATTATGGTTTGCAGATTTTATTGCCAGTGGATCAATATCAACACCAGCAGATGATGCAGCACCAAACTGCAAATTTCAAACGAGCCATACACAAGGGATATGTAAGGATTTTTTTTGAAATAAGATGATTATATTGTAAAGATTGGTTTGGGAAAGACAGAGAAAACGAGTGAGAGTTTTGACCTTGAGGGCTGCGATTGCCAGTATTCCTGAACCAGTACCGTAGTCGAGGAATGCCTCTCCGCCTTTTATCAAACTTTGAAGAAGCAATAGACACAGCTTAGTAGTAGGATGTTCTCCTGTCCCAAACGCAAGTCCAGGATTCAGAATGATGTTTACTGCTTCTGCGACCTTGCAAAGAATAGTGAAAGAGTACCATTACATACACATAACTTGATAACCTCTCTCTCTGTATAAGCTGACAAAGCAAGAGAGAGATTCATATTCTGCAAATTCAGTAGCTCTCTCTACCGCTCTTTGTTATGTCAACTAAGGCAATACAATGATGAAATTGTTAAAAGAGTGTTGAAAGGATTTTGTAAACATACAGGAGGAGATGTCCACTCAGGTACGATCCAAAGCCTCTCAGCAATTTCAACAGGCTGGAACAATTCCTACAAAACATCATGAACCAAAAGATATATAGCTTCAAAGGGGGGGTATTGCCACAAACAAATGTAGTCATCGAGTCAATCGTTTCTGAGGACAAATATGCAAGTATTCTCCCTGTGTAAACTCAAAAGAGTCACCTGGTTTTTGGTTATCCAGTCCTGTTCATCACCCAATTCAACATTGAATTTAGGTATCTCTTTCAAGCCTATCGAATTTGCAGCCTGTGAGATGCACATTTTCACCTCCTCGTGCACTGGAAATATTGATTCTATACATATCTGTAAACACAAGCAATGTCACTATTATTAAAAAGGTTCCTATGTGCTCAAATAATACAAAAGATTGGTGCTTTCTTCACCTCTCTGGAAGCAAGAGAAGACTCAGAAGTCACATCTTCTTCTTCTTCTTCTTCTTCTTCGTCGTATTCATCTACAGCTACTGAGCTGGCTCCAAAACACAACAAAGCCTCCGAGAAAGGATCCTAAAACAAAACCCAGATGACAAAGAATGGAAACTTTCAATCTCCTTATCCAGTTATGAGAGAGTGAATGAGAGTTAACATACGACGATATGTTTTGGGCAGTGGATTCGAACTGAGAGGTAAGGTGCTGCAGCGAAAGACTCTGATGTAGAGAGAGACGCAGAAATTGAAAAGGAGGATGGAGGAGTAGAGGAAGTGAAGCATCGGCGGGGTTTGACTCTGAGGATATGGCGGGAGAGATTCGTGCACGGAAAGTGTTTGATAAAATGCCAAGCTGACATTTTCTTTTTTAATCTTTTTGCTTCAAAGATTTTCTCAGTTGTGGAATTTAAACCTCTGAAAAAGACCAAAAAAAAAAAAAATTTTATTTATCCCTTATATATTATTTGCGAAGTGATTTTAACATTTGTCATCACCACAATCAATTTCACCAAAAATGGATGACATATCCACTAATAATGATGACATGACTTGATATTATTTGTCACATGTACATTTACATTTAATGTTAAATATATTTTTGGTAAGTTTTTAAAATATGGTAATAACTAATAAATTATAATAAAATAATAAAAATAGAAATATAACAATATTTACAAATTTTCAAATATTTTTCAAGTCTATTTGTTATAGTTATATAATTTTTATCAATAATTTTTTTGCAAATTTTTTTTGCAGATTTTTATAAAAATTGTAATTTCCTAATCCAAGTACCGTTAGTTTTATCCCTTGTTAGAGAATTCGCTAGGCGTTACGCGTACGTTCGGGCAGCGCCTAACGCCTAATCGAAAATCGGATTTTAAACTGGGATTAATCAGGGATTAATTTTAATGTTTTATTTTATTATTAAAATAAAAATATATACATTAAACAGTTTATGTAAATATATACAAAGGAATACGAGTGGTCTGATGGCTGATATCTTGTTTGCTAAAGGCCAGGCCCTTGTTTGAAGTCCACTTTGGTTACTTAGGGTTTCGTCGATTCTGCAACCTATTTCGCGGCCGCCATGGACTTTTTTCGAAGAAATTTCATTTCTTGTGCGTTTTAGTTGTTGTTTACACATAAGAACTATAGATTTGTCAATACAATAGATTTAGAACTTCAAAATAGCCAAAAAAATAAAAATTGTGCCATTCTGCCTAACTGTCCGATTTGGAGCAAATAGCGACAATGGAGAGCCACTTCAAGTTTACTTGCCGGAAAGCCGGGCGCAGGGCTGCGTTTTAGAACAAGGGTTTTATCTATAAATTTTAGAAATATTATTTAATCTATATTTTGGTAATTATATACCTAACAAAATTTTCTCTTAATTATATAAAATTTGATTTAACATATTTTAACCAAAAGAAAAAAGATAAAAAAATCTTTCCAATATTTTAACTTTATATATATATATATACTAGGTGTTTTGCCCGCACTTACGGGCATAATTCTCTTATAAATATTTAATAGTTGATATTTCATTAATTTAAAAATCAGCATAATAAGTTATTATTTATGTTTTCAAAAAGTAATTCAACCATTAAATAATTATTAATGACAAAACTCAAACTTCAGAAATATTTAAAAGAATATATTTCTATAATTACTTTGCTTGATTTATATTTAATTATAATATTTATACAATTTTTTTACTTAACTTATATCTAATTGTAATTTTTATATCTTAATTTAATTTATAATAGAAAACATATTTTAAATATAAAATAATGCATAAGTTATTTATATCTAAAAATATAATATGATAATTTTTTTAATTATATAAGATTATAAAAATTATGACATAGAATTAAAATTACCTAAAATCATGGAGAACTTAATGAATCAGCAAATTCACTTCTTAAATAATTTTTCTTGAGTGATAATTTATATTTAATTAATAATAGATAATTTTTCTATTTTATTTTAAATTATATAATATAAAAGTATATTTTCAAGATAACAACATAATACATAAGAATAACTAGAACTTTTTATATCTTAATTTTAAATTTATAATACGAAAATATATTTTCAAGACAACAACTTAATAAATCAGAAATATCTTATTTTCTAAGAATCTGATACTATTAATATAAATTTGTTTTAAATATATAATAAATTATATATAAAATTATAGAAATTATGATAAGTTATCAAAGTTAATTAAAATCATGGAAAATATGACAAATCAGCAAACATCAAAATATGACAAACAGTTCTTGGAATGCAACCAAATGAAAGATCAAATGCTCTATAATGTCTGAATAATACTCTTGAGTTTATTGAATAGAGATCAATGGCTTAAATAGCTTTACAAACTTCAACGAAAAACACTTAACTTGCTGCTAAAGAAACGCTAACAACTAAGACCAACTAAGTTCACAAGACTCGGTCTTTATTTGAACCAAAACAGAAACAAGACTTAATCAAAACCAACTACTCCAATGACTCTTTTATTCCCGGCTTTGAATTTGCTTCAACAAACCCTCCACGATATCTCCCTAAATTCCAAGCTTGTTTCTCAGCTTCTCGTACACTTCACGACTCAATGCTTTAGTGAAAATATCAGCCACTTGTTCTTGTGAAACACAATGCTCAAGACTGATCTCTCCATTGTTGACTAGATCTCGCAGAAAATGAAACCGAACACCAATCTGTTTGCACCTCCCATGGAACACAAGATTCTTAGATAGCTTGATAATTGATGTATTGTCACACATGATCTTTGTACTTCTACTGACTTCATACCCCAACTTTTCTTTTACTCTCTTGAACCAAATTGCTTGACAAGCACACACTGATGCAGCAACATATTCAGCTTCGGTGGTAGAAAGTGTGACTATTGGTTGTTTCTTAGATAACCAAGCAACCGCAGCTCCATCCATGAAAAAAACATAACCTGATGTACTCTTCCTGCTATCGATATCTCCAGCAAAATCATTGTCTGTGTAGACCACAACACCTCCAGCTCCACCTCTCTTGTACCAGATTCCATAATCCATAGTCCCTTTTAAGTATCTCAGAACCCTCTTAGCTGCTTGCATGTGTAGCTTCATGGGATTAGACGTAAAACGACTCAAGAGACGTACAAAAAATTGCAGGTCTGTTCTTGTGGTTGTGATGTACATAAGGCTCCCAATAATTTGCTTGTAAAGTGTCTCATCCACTGGCTCTCCTTCACTGTCCATATCCAACTTGTTTCCTGGAACCATTGGATTACTCACAGCATTGCATCCCCCCATGTCAAAACGTCTCAAAATCTCAAGTGCATACTTCAACTAAAATATGTGAATTCCTTGTGATGTCTGCAACACTTTAATCACCAAGAAATATCTCATCTTCTCCAAGTCTGTCATGTCAAACTCATCTTGCATTGATCTCTTGAACTCCTCCATCATCGAGATACTATCTCCTGTATATATCAAATCATCAACATAGACACTGACCATGAGAATGTTACCATGTTTGTTGTTCTTCAAGAACAAAGTTTCTTCATTCTGAGACTTGGCAAAACAAGCCCCAAGGGCATGGCATCAAAGTTGGCTTTGCCAAGTCTCAGAATGAAGAAACTTTGTTCTTGAAGAACAACAAACATGGTAACATTCTCATGGTCAGTGTCTATGTTGATGATTTGATATATACAGGAGATAGTATCTTCATGATCGAGATAGTATCTTGAACTCGCCGGTCTGACCTTCATCCTCACTACCTTCTGCTTCACTTTCTTCCCAAGTTGTGGCATCATCATTCCAGGTTAGTACATTATCATAGGTGTGATCTTGATCTCCTTCTCAATCCCAACCTTTTCCTTCTTCAAAGATAACATCTTGGCTGATGATGACCTTCTTAGTCTTTGGGTTGTATAGCTTGTAACCCTTAGAATCTTCAGAAAAAACAATCAGAACACAGGTGGTGCTCTTCTCATCCAGCTTGTGTCTCTTCTCATCTGAAATGTGAGTGCGTGCTAGACTTCCCCACACTCAAAAATGTTCTACGGTTGGTTTCACACCACTACAGGCTTCTTGTGGTGTGATGTATTTAACAGCGTGTGTAGGACATTTATTGAGCACGTGAAAGGTCCACATCACTGCATCTGGCCAGAAGATTCTTGGAACCTTTCTTGTTGAGAGCAGAGATCTCACCATGTTCATGACTGTACGGTTTTTCCTCTCTGGAATACCGTTCTGCTGCGGAGTGTAAGCAGTGGTGAGTTGTCTCCGAATCCCCTGCTCTCTGCAGTACTCAGAGAATTCCAGTAAGGTGTATTCCTCTCCTCTGTCAGTTCTGAGACATTTTATGCTTCTTCCTGTCTCAACTTCAACCTTCTTTTTGAACACTTTAAAGAGATTAAACGCCTCTGACTTTTCTTTTAAGAAATAAACCCAAGCCTTTCTGCTATGATCATCAATAAAACACAGAATGTACCTCTTCTCAGATGTGGAGATGGGATTGATAGTTCCACAGATGTCAGAGTGAATGATCTCTAACACTTCATTAGCTCTCCATGTACTCTTCTTTGGGATGGCGGTTATTGGTTGCTTGCCAATGAGGCAATCTGAGCAGGTGAAAGTTTGAGTTTCAAACTCTGGAAGTCCACGTACCATTCCCTTCTTCTGTAATGTTTTCATTCCTCGGTGGCTCAGATGTCATGTACCTTTCATGCCAGTCTTAGTGTGCTCTCCGTGGTGGTCTGAAAACATTGTAAGTGTTTGGATGTGTCACCTTTTGCTTGATCAAACCCTACAAACATTCGGTTTGTACTCATTCTGCTCTCAGCTATCAGACCTCTTTCATCATGAAAAACTTGCAGGTTCCCTTTCTTTTGATGATCGTTAAATCTTTCTCTTGGAGCTATCCAAGACTCAACAAGTTGTTTCTCAGCTTAGGTACATAGTAGACGTTACTGATGGTGTATGTTGAACCATTCAACATTAGCTTGACACTTCCTTTGCCACTGACTTCCATTCTTTTGTTGTTTCCTAGTTTCACCGAGTGTTTAAACTCCATGTCAACACTTGAGAACAAGTCCTTATCTCCATTCATGTGGTTTGAACATCCAGAGTCAAGGAACCAAGCTCGTCTCTTCTCACTTCCTTGTCCTTCAGATTGAGCCATTAATGCCCTTTTTTTTTAAGCCATACAATGCTTTGTGAAGCTTGTAAACTTTATCTTCATGACCCTCAGCTTCATATCCATCTGGTTGTTGTACGTACACATCTTCTTCAAGCACTCTATGTAAGATTGCAGTCACATCCAACTGATAGACTTCACATCCCTTCTGAGCAGGTCTAGCCAGCACTA